TAACAATTTCCCTGTGATGTGTGAAAGGAATATATAATACATATATAAAATATATAAATAAAAGGAGTCTTTTAAAGAATGCAACTTTTTTTATTTCTTTAGTCAAAACATCCAGACTGCAGCTGGCAGAACTGGCTGCATAATCCAAGGTGGGGATCCTCAGAATGAATCCCCCGGAGCTCTCCCAACTTCCCACGTCCAACATAACCTGTGGGTATAGCAATAACAAAACAAAAGCATATTCATGTGCATGGTGTTAAGATTTGTTTTTTGTTGCAGACACAAAGTCATTTTACCTAGTAACATTTGAACATTTGAATTCTGTTAAAAGCACAGTGTGAATACCTGGCATGCAGCTCTTAAATGTGCAGTTGCACTGAGCGCAGTTTTGTACAGAGTACATAACGTTAGGTATTAGCTAAAAAAAAAAAAAAAAACGATAAACGCTAACGTTTCTTCAAACAAAGATGTATGTGTTAACCCAAGGGACACGTAGTATCATCTTACGTTTAAAATGCAACGTTACAAACTATCCGGATGGTTAAAATTGTAAAGTTAAGAGTTTAACCGTTTTATTTTTTTAAATGGATAGTAAAAAAAAACTGGTCTCTTTGGGAATTTACCTGTAACGCCACTGCCATCTTCTTCTTCTTCTTCTTCTTCTCCTCTCGGTTTGATTTATTGGTGGTAAGAGTGTCAAGAAATCGCGAATTTGCATTTTTGACCCTGTAGACTTGCTGTTGTACACGCCCAAGTCATGACACGAGAGGTCATGAGACGAGGGGCTCCAGTCTGCAGCCATTTGGCATTTGGCGCTCAGTTTGCTCCTCCTCTTGTCTCCTCTATCGCTATCTGGATTAATTAAGGTAAGACATAAACAAATGTTTATGTGCAAATAGAACCCACAGTATGAGTGGGTTTTCACAGATTGTTTTATGTGTACAGAATGTAGTTTACAAAACTTTGGAGGGAATAAACATGCTTATCATGACGTATCACGACAGGCTAGGTGCACCTCCAGGTAACGTTAGATACTGAAAACGAATGAATGAATGAATGAATTTTTTATGTCAGGAGTTTCTGACGTTTCTTTTTCTGCAAGTATTGGTGCGTTCCAGGCAACCCGTAACTCGTGTTTTCACAACCTGTAACCCGTGAAAGTGCACTGGAACGGCAGTCAAACCCGTAACTTCCCACCCGTGAACTCGTACCAGATCGACGTACTCCCAGTTACGCTTTCTGACGTCACACAGCCCTCTAAACCAATTACCTTACTCCTCTAAATAACAATGGCAGCCCTATGGATGCGGTGTTGATGCAGGTGATACATGGTGAGAAATAGACATAAAATAACCCTAATGTTAACGCATTATTGGCAGCCGCTCTAACAGCTGGTTTCCAGTGCAAGAATAATCAATACAAAATACGTTTCCAAACACACAGATAACGTAAAATAAAAAGTATAATAGCATCTGTGACCTTGTGCGCTGTCTTCCTCCTCCGTTTTGCTCAAATGAGCAAGGAGCAGGCACCTTTGACGATAGAAATATTGGGGAAGCACAAACATACGGTTCGCCATGTTCAACGTTAAACAGGAAGTAACTGGCAGTTTGCCGTAACTTTCCTGGAACGCTACAAAGTCGTAACTCGTGACTTGAAGTCGTGACTTACGAGTTCAAAAGCCTGCCTGGAACGCACCATAACTTGCAGCTAACGTTAATGTTTGTTGGTCTCTGATCCCTGCGCTGTGATCAGAGAGCAGGTGTGTAGACACAGACGCACTGAGCTCACTCTACGTGTGGTTGTGGTATTAGCGGTGTGTTACGTTGTGTGTGTAGTGTTAGCAAAGTAGCCTGTAACAGCTCTAAACATGTTATGAAGTTAAAATAAGATGGCCAGATTCCTCTATACCTATAACATTGGACCGGACCTGTTAGGATTCACGACGATACTAGTTAAAACTTGCAACTTTGCAACTTTGGTTAGCGGAGCTAAAAATAAACTTAAGCCCGGTTTGAGTCGAGCTGAGATGCTCCGTGATGAGTTTAAGGTCACTGCGTTATGAGACAGCGCCTGGACAGAGAAACAGTGAATTCAATAGTGCATTGAGGTAAAGTGAGAAATATCCATAGATCTGTTATTGTCATATATTCTGCTGCCTCTCTCCAGAAGTGACCACACAGACAGATCTGTGTGTGAGTGAGTTTCTATGGGTTACTATGGTTACAGTGATGCTCTGTGTCTCTGTCTCTTTGTAACTTTCTCATGATTCAGAGCCGGTTTTTACATTAATCTGTTTTAACAACCGTCATGAATGTGATTGTATCTTTTATCAAAATCTAGTGACATAATTTTACATTTTTGTTTAACATAATTAAAGAGGAGAACGCCTCAGAGTGTGCATCGTAGGCTGCAGTCTGTTTATAAAAAGTATGAGCAAAAGATGTGCTGGTGCTGCAGCACAACCAGTGGAAAAGTCAGTTTAAAGCCTATGTTGAAAAATATGCGTGCCCCCTGAACATATTTAATTTTTTTCTGTCAAATCAGTTTGTTTCTGCAGCCGGGTCTGCCTCTCATGTAGACTTTCTGACCATGGGGTACAAAACATGTTGAATCTGAAAGCATTGCCAGTAAATACATAACATTTTGGCTTATGGTTGTTTGTCATTGTCTCCCCCTGCCCCACCCCGCAAGCTGAGACTATAATGAAATGCACATTACCATGTGATAGAACAGCGTTTGACAGGCATGAGCATTCCTTTAATATGGTGACTGACTACTTTAGCGGGTGTTTACATATCTAATGGCCTGTGAAAGTGATTGTCCAGTATACCTTTTGAGCAAGCTAATGTGAGTCTTAAAATGGAGAGTATACAGCTGTCTGTCAGAATTAACAGAACACAAGTCAGTGGATGAGGTGTGTATGAGAGATGGAAACATGATGATTTTAGTGGGAATTGTAATCGGTGAATCTTTGAAACATGATCATATACATATTTCCACTTATACAGTCAGAGATCCTTCAGTGTGGTCTGACTCACATTTGTGTACACACTGAATGTGGTTACATGTGGCTCACATAACAACCAAATGTGGTTTGAGTGATCAGATCTCAGTGTGGATTGATGATGCACACAAGTACTTAGAGCTGTCCACTTGTGTTCTGATTATCAAAGATAACTGTGCACCAGGGCCTAAGACTGACCTAAGGTCATAAGGTACTAATTGTGCACAAGTGTGCCACCCACTTCTACCACAAGTAAATTGTCATTCACACATTCAGCAGAATTTAGAGACCAATACTTATTGAGTTGCATTCTGGATTTAAATTTCAATTCAACTTTAAATTCAATGCATTAGTCAACCACTGGCTGATGTATTTAAATAAATCTGATTCAAATTTTGCTTTGGCCATCAAGTGTATATTAAACATAATACCTTATTATCTCTTGGATATAAGAGGGGCATGATCTTGTATGTATGTATGTATGCATATATGCATGTATGTAAATGGAAATTTATTATTTTGGCCATTAAAGATACACCAGACAAGCAAGTGTTTTTAGTATGGATTTCTTGTTGCCTGCACTGATGCTTTGTGCTGTATATTTTTGCAGGTCTCTGAGCATCTGATTTTGGGGCATCACCAGTAACCAGATTGTCAACAAGTTCCAAAAGTTCCAGAAAGGTAAATGAACACATGGACATATTTTGATGACATTAGGGGAGAGGTTTTGAGGAGTTCTTTGTTACATCTGGAGGTATAGTAACAGAGCCAAATAGAGTCTACATGTCTCTCTGCATAGACAACGAAGCCTGCAAAATGGAGTTATCGTATTACATAGATAAACTCCCACTCACTTTCTTTTAGAGACAGTCAGAATACTTCCTCAGTTTTTATTCGTTCAGCGTCAAAGTGCAAAGTATTTGCAAAGTATTCAGGCACATGCATATGTGTAAGTGTCAAAATCTTTGTCTGTTACAGATCAGAAAAATGGATTACTATGGTAGTTCTCGAACCAAACGGAGACGCATTAAAGCCAAAGTTGCAGAGCACTTGCAGATGTTGGAAGACCTGCGCGCCAAAAACAAAGTGTCTTCAAATCTGGACTGTGTCGCTGAAATGGACAGCCAGATTCATAATGAAGAGTTGGATTCTCAGGCCCAGACTGTTTACAATGAAAGTGGCCAGGAATCAGATTCTGAGATGTTCCCAAGTGATAGCAGTAAAGAATTAAATTTGAATGCTACGACTGAGGGAACTAATCCTTGTGATGAACTGAAAAAGAAATTGGCTGATTGGGCCCCAAATCACAATATTTCACACAGTGCATTGTCGGAACTATTGTATATTTTAGTGCAGCGCGGCCTGGATTTACCCAGAGATCCAAGGACTGTTTTGTCAACCTTAAAAACCTGTGAGGTCAAAGAAATTGGAGATGGTAGCTACTATCATTTTGGAGTGTCAAATGCAATTATTTCACAGCTGTCTCATGAATCATATCCTTCAACAGACACTCTAACTCTCTGTGTTAATATTGATGAATTACCGCTCTTCAGAAGCTCCAAAATGGAGTTATGGCCTATTTTGGCTAAGATCAAAGAACTTCCAAAATCTAATGTTATTATTATTGGCCTGTATGCAGGCCCAACAAAGCCAAATTCTGTTGAGGATTACTTAAAGGATTTCATTCAGGACCTGAAGGTAATATCTAATGAGGGTTTGCATTACAATGGAAAACATTACAATATTGCCCTTCCGGATGCCTTCTTCTGTGATGCACCTGCCCGTGCCTTCTTGAAATGTACCAAGGGTCATTCTGGTTACAACTCCTGTGAACGCTGTACAGAGCATGGGATTCGCATGGACAATAAGGTTGTGTTTCCTGATTTGAAAGCACCACTTAGAACAGATGCACAGTTTAAACATATGATGGATGAATAACATCATCATGGTGTTTCATCCCTTCAAGAGCTGGGCATAGGGATGGTGTCAAGCTTTGTACTTGATTACATGCATTTAGTTTGCTTAGGAAATGTGAGAAAACTTGTCAGTCTGTGGATCAAAGGACCTTTAAGGTGTTGGGTTTCTGCAGCCACCATCACCGTTATCTCTGGCCATTTGAAATCAATTAGAGAACATCTCCCAAGGAATTTTTCACGAAAACCACGGTCACTTATGGAATACAGTCAGTGGAAGGCCACTGAATTCAGACAATTTCTGTTGTATACAGGCCCTGTGGTTCTACAAGGACGCTTACCTACACGACTGTATAAGAACTTTATGCTACTGTCGGTAGCAATGAGAATTCTTCTCAGCCCAGCCCTGTGTTCTGAATACTGTGACTATGCAGACAAACTATTGAAATGTTATGTGACTAACTTTGTTAAGATACAGTACAGGCCAAAAGTTTGGACACACCTTCTCATTCAATGCGTTTTCTTTATTTTCATGACTATTTACATTGTAGATTCTCACTGAAGGCATCAAAACTATGAATGAACACATGTGGAGTTATGTACTTAACAAAAAAAGGTGAAATAACTGAAAACATGTTTTATATTCTAGTTTCTTCAAAATAGCCACCCTTTGCTCTGATTACTGCTTTGCACACTCTTGGCATTCTCTCCATGAGCTTCAAGAGGTAGTCACCTGAAATGGTTTCCACTTCACAGGTGTGCCTTATCAGGGTTAATTAGTGGAATTTCTTGCTTTATCAGTGGGGTTGGGACCATCAGTTGTGTTGTGCAGAAGTCAGGTTAATACACAGCCGACAGCCCTATTGGACAACTGTTAAAATTCATATTATGGCAAGAACCAATCAGCTAACTAAAGAAAAACGAGTGGCCATCATTACTTTAAGAAATGAAGGTCAGTCAGTCCGGAAAATTGCAAAAACTTTAAATGTGTCCCCAAGTGGAGTCGCAAAAACCATCAAGCGCTACAACGAAACTGGCACACATGAGGACCGACCCAGGAAAGGAAGACCAAGAGTCACCTCTGCTTCTGAGAATAAGTTCATCCGAGTCACCAGCCTCAGAAATCGCAAGTTAACAGCAGCTCAGATCAGAGACCAGATGAATGCCACATAGAGTTCTAGCAGCAGACCCATCTCTAGAACAACTGTTAAGAGGAGACTGCGCCAATCAGGCCTTCATGGTCAAATAGCTGCTAGGAAACCACTGCTAAGGAGAGGCAACAAGCAGAAGAGATTTGTTTGGGCCAAGAAACACAAGGAATGGACATTAGACCAGTGGAAATCTGTGCTTTGGTCTGATGAGTCCAAATTTGAGATCTTTGGTTCCAACCGCCGTGTCTTTGTGAGACGCAGAAAAGGTGAACAGATGGATTCCACATGCCTGGTTCCCACTGTGAAGCATGGAGGAGGAGGTGTGATGGTGTGGGGGTGTTTTGCTGGTGACACTGTTGGGGATTTATTCAAAATTGAAGGCACACTGAACCAGCATGGCTACCACAGCATCCTGCAGCGACATGCCATCCCATCCGGTTTGCGTTTAGTTGGACGATCATTTATTTTTCAACAGGACAATGACCCCAAACACATCTCCAGGCTGTGTAAGGGCTATTTGACCAAGAAGGAGAGTGATGGAGTGCTGAGGCAGATGACCTGGCCTCCACAGTCACCGGACCTGAACCCAATCGAGATGGTTTGGGGTGAGCTGGACCGCAGAGTGAAGGCAAAGGGGCCAACAAGTGCTAAACACCTCTGGGAACTCCTTCAAGACTGTTGGAAAACCATTTCAGGTGACTACCTCTTGAAGCTCATGGAGAGAATGCCAAGAGTGTGCAAAGCAGTAATCAGAGCAAAGGGTGGCTATTTTGAAGAAACTAGAATATAAAACATGTTTTCAGTTATTTCACCTTTTTTTGTTAAGTACATAACTCCACATGTGTTCATTCATAGTTTTGATGCCTTCAGTGAGAATCTACAATGTAAATAGTCATGAAAATAAAGAAAACGCATTGAATGAGAAGGTGTGTCCAAACTTTTGGCCTGTACTGTATATGGATCAGAGCACCTTGTGTACAACACCCACAGTCTTGTACATCTGGCTGATGATGCAAGAAAGTTTGGTGCCCTAGACAGTGTTTCATGTTTCCCTTTTGAAAATTATCTCGGCACACTAAAACGGCTGGTAAGAAGGCCCCAAAATCCTCTTCAACAAGTTGTACGCCGTTTAGGTGAAAAACCTATCCCTTTTGATAATGGAAAGAAAATGAGGAATAAGCTTCAACAACCACATGTCGATGGTCCAACTCTCCCAGAGTTCCCTGCTCGTATGCAGTACAAGAAGTATAGACATTAAGCAAATATTATTTCCTGCTCTAAAGGCAACAACTGCTTTGATGTTGAGGGCAGAGTTGCTGTTGTGAGGAATATTCTAGAGGTGTTATCAGGAGCTATGTACACTGTGTGTCAGTTTTATGAGAGACAAGGATGCTTTTACGATTACCCTATTGATTCATCTTGTGTGGGGATCAGAACAGTGACACAACTCTCTGACCAGCTTCATGGTGTGCCTGTGACTGACTTAACAAAAAAACTCATACTGCTTCCTGTGCGAGAGGGGTGTGTGGCTTTTCCACAATTACATGACGAGTGATTGACCTTATGAACATTGCAGCATGGCCCTCTTCAGCGTCGTGGAGTTCAGAGATGAAGAATCAAGAGAAGGGAAGACTCTAGTGGATATAATCCCATCGTGTTGGTTTACTGATGAAGACAAGACGGACTGTTTTTGGCCCTCAGGCCTAAGTCTAAACATCACTAAGGCAGTTAAGCAGCAACTCCAGCCAGATGCTTCATGGACGACATACAGTGTGCGTGTAATTGGAAATGCAGGTAAAAAACAGATTTTGGGGGAGTGGGATAAGTCTGAAGCTGTATGAGATTTAGATTAAGCTATGCTTTTTTTTGTCTTTTTAAGATACATATGGAGATGCTCGATGTAAGTTTGCACGAGCAGAAGTTACATCTGATCTTCAAACAGACAATGATGTACCAAAGAAGCGACAAAGAAAGGAAATGTAAATGTACTTAAACCTGTTACTAACCAAAGTGGAATTTTATAGTTTCCTTCACAACATTTAAAGGAAGATTTTGCATATTTTACAGTTTTGTAGTAGTATATTGGCAGTTGTAGGGTTGCAACTGTATTAAAAAATGACAGTTTTACAGAATTATTTTCAGCCAAGATGATAACTAAAAATTTCCTGCCTGTCATGGCTGACGCATGTGTGATGAATTATAATTTCACATTTTGGACTGTCTAAAATTGAACATAGCTCTGAAATGAACTGTTAACTTCATTGGGGATTTAATAATTGTTCGATTTTTCAACTGGGCCAAACATCTTTTTTCATTATTTAGTGTGGATGCTGAAAGCTATCTATCTATCTATCTATCTATCTATCTATCTATCTATCTATCATACAAGCTCTCTCTCTTTCTGTCTGGATTGTACAGGTTGTGGTGTGACTGTGCATCTCTCTTTTTTGTGAATAAAAACTCAGTCAGTCAGTCAGTCACTCACGCAAACACACACACACACACACACACACACACACACACACACACA